CTAACATTATGACACGCCCATTAGGCAGTGCATTAGACGAACTGTCCGTTAGACAAACTGTCCACTAGACAAACTAGACAAACTGTCCGTTTGACGAACTCTCCGTTACATAATGTGTATTTTGACAAACTGTCGTTCGACGAAACGTCTTTAAACAGATTGACCGGGTACCGTGAATGATAACAATGATTGATGCTGAGTGGATTTGTTTCACTCAGCATCAATGATTGGTGATGAAAATGATTATGAAGCGGGATGACTTACAACTTCATGGCCCGCAGTAACTAAAGCATCTGCGATATGACCCATGAAATTGACGTGACTGTGGAATACTTTTGGTGCATAGATCAGGATTTTGTAGGATTGTGAGTTTTTGATGAGTACGATACTTAAAATCATCAAGAGATATTGCATATCTCAGTATAGATGTGAAGCCTGAAATAATTGATAGCATGACATCAACGTATCAATATAGTGAGGATACACAGATGTGGTCAAGAGATCTGTTGAAAAATATCAAATGACTTATGTTGATAGGAAGTGAATAGTCAGTCGATGTTGAGATGCAATAAAGCATTTGAATTGAAAAAAAGTAGGTTAAAAATGAAAGTGAACTGATGTTGACAAGTGTGCTGCGAACTGATCATACGAGAAGTTACAATGATGAGAATATTAATTGTGATAATGATAGGATAAAACTGCAATTCTCACTGCAAACAAGTGTAATTATTGAATATGATGGCCCCGAGTTCGATCTTGCCTTCTTCCTAAAACATGATTCTAGCTTTTGCTAACCACGTTTCACCAACATGTGTTCATTTAAAAGTGCAATTCTTCATTGATCTCTCTAGGAAAGGTTTTTACTTTGTTTCTTCTCACTCATGATTTCATCATATCATCTGCCACATGTCCATGATATGTCTCATATCAAGCCTTTTAAATGCCCATACCATATCATATCAGTGCCAAAATATTCTCTCATAGTTTTTTGCATTGTTTTTCATTGAAGTAAATGTAATTATAAATTCGATTAGCGTATTGAAGTTGAGCTGGTGCTCTGATAATAATTGAGGTAGAACTCGAGTTGGTTACTTTCAATGGATGGAATCAGTTTCCAACTGCTCAGTTGATATATAAGCCCCAGATAAAACCTTAAACCTTTCAACCTTATTTCAAGCTTCAAATCTTTGTCTCATTTGCTCCTCTCACTTGTGGGTGTATAAGAAAACAAATAAAATGAAACGAGCACTAGTTGTTTCCATTGTTATCTCACCGATTAAAATGTTTCTGTGCCCTTTAGATTCCTCTTATTTTTATCAGTATCTTATCGAAACTGTATGCAACTTTGACGCCAAACGTCAAATTACGAGATTATGCCGCTTGGGGTGATCAGTGATGATGTTCAATAGTCGCAATTAGTGTTCGTCGGGGAATAATTTTTTGCACGGGGGGGGGTCCCCGCGGGGAGTAAATTGGACGAGGGGGGTCCCTGCGAAAAAGTCGGGGAGCAAATTGCGCGGAGGGGGACCTCGTCGGGGAATGACCGCTCCCCGTGTTCCCCGACGTGGAGGGCGGGGAGTATTTCAGCTTAATTTTTAAAACAAAATTTCAATTTTTTAAAGATTTTTCTTCTATTTTTAAGTCGTTCTCTTTCAAGTGCACCTTATACTCACATTTCAAAACAAAAAACAAGACAATATTGAAAGTGTTGCGGCTGTCTTCCACCATTTTCAGTTAAATGTTCGCGATATTCAGGAAGGTTTGCACTCCCCGTCCTCCCCGTCGGGGAGCGAAATTGGACGAGGGGGTTCCCCACGAAAAAGTCGGGGAGCAAATTGCGCGGGGAGGTCCCCGCGGAGAGTAAATTGGACGGGGGGGGTCCCCGCCAGAAAGTCGGGGAGCAAATTGCGCGGGGGGGAGCGCTCCCCGCGTTCCCCGCCGGGGTCTCCGACCACTTGATAGAAGAACTTACTATTTCTACGTGCAACTGCTTGCATTTTCCATCTTCACGAGTATGGTATCATCAATTGCGACACCGCCTTTGTGATGACATTGTGGGAATGACATTGTCTATCTACAGAAGTGACAACATCCCAATTTACAAGAACGGATATTAAGATTAATATGTGACAATCAATACTGAGAACAGTAGCATCGCTAACAACAACAATTAACAACAACATCACCAAAAAATTAATATTATGGTCGAGGGCAGCTGTACAAAAAAAGTTGCGAGCCCGCAACAAGGAGCAAACGGAAAACTGGTCCGGGAATTCTTCAGTTACGTGAAGAAAAATAATTTTCTGCGATGAAGCGAGTATTTTAGAACTTTATTAATCCACTGCAGGAACCATCTGAGCCTCGGCAATCAAAAACGAAAAGCAGTGAAAAAAGTGATAACAAGTTCAATTCAAAAGTTCAAAAAGTGATAACATTCAGACAAGTTCAAAAAGTGATAACATCAGTGATAAACAATGAAATTCAACTACAAGTTCAATTATTCGTGAAG